CATTGCTTTGAAAGTCAACAATAAAGAATTGATAACATAGTCTATCGTTTCTCTTGGATTTTTATTTGCATACTGACTTCTTCCCTTAATTTTCGTTTGGGTCGTGGTTGCTATTGAGAATATACTACATACCAGTGTCTTTTCAGAAAAAAATATGTACATATTGTCACTGAAATATAAACATAAGTAGAAAACAACTGGAATTTAATTCCAGTTTAACCATTATTCAACCTTTGATCATTCCTTCCCTCTACCAGTTCTGTCATCACACAAAGTTGGTGAAGCACAATAAAACTAAGGAAACTGCTCTGACCCACTGGGCCAAAGATCCCCGAATTTGAAGGTTCCTAAGAAAGCTGCTCCTCGGGAACCCTATATAGAGTCATTATGGGTCAGAACCAACTCGACGGCACTTAACAACAACAACAATGCTTAGACATGATAGGTGAAGTTATTACCATCCCTTGTAGCCAGAATCCACTTTTAAGACATACCCTAATTACAGAAAATGCATCCAGTCAATATAATACATATTAGTAATTTCCTGATCCTTGGTGGAATGGAAATTATTCTGTAAGTTTAATTAAGAAGGAAAAAAATGATGTTCAGGTATTAATTTCAATAAAGAGGCACTCAGCTTCCATGGGAAAACCCCATAGTAAAGCTGTGAGTGTGGGTTACCCACAGAAAGAAAACCATTTATAATCAGACAGTACATGAGTTTGGTCACTGCATGCACCTCAAGGAAAAGAGAACATCTTGCTTGCAACATGTGTCCTTGCATAGGTTTAAAAAATGGACAGTTGAGAATAGTTATTTGGCCATTTGTTTAAAAAAAATTTTTTTTTTCTTAAAGGAAGGTTTACAGCCTGTATTAAGAAATAGTTTATCTGGACAGCATCCATTCCTCAGATACTTTTGTAGGCTTCCTCCTTCACTTTGACCTCAGCCATAGACCATTATGAATGTTTATGATAAAAGAAGTAACTGGGTCACCAAGTAAGCTGTCTAGTTCCTACAGCCATGTTAACAATTGCATCAGATCATCCTCAGAACTAAGACAGTTAATGGAAAGAATATCAGTTTTTAAAATTGTCCCAATCACTAAAAAAAAGTCACCAAGGCTAACTTTGTGCGATTCCAGTTATATGAAATGCCCCAAATAGGCAAAGCCATGCAGATAGCGTTGATCCGTGGTTTCCTGGGAATAGGAGGAAGAGGGAAATGGAAGTGATTGCTTGATGGAGATGGAGTTTCTTTTTGAGTGATGATGAAAATGTGCTACAATTAGACAGTGGCTGTGGTCGCACAACATTGCGACTACACTAAAAACCACTGAGTTACACTTCAAAGGGGTGGCTTTTATGGTATGCAAATTGTATGTCAATTTTTTTTTAAAGTACCAGTTTTTAACTGCTAATCTCAAATCATAGAGTGCTAAATCAGGGGAATCATTCCTCAAGAGATCAGCAAGTGTAACTGTCTCATTTTGCAAATAAAGACATTGGCACCCAAAGAGATGAAATGATTCACCCAAGGTCACACACCAGCAGCCCAGGTCAGGACAAGACAGGAACAAAGGTCTCCTGATCCATCTCTCTTTCCTCCACTCTAGCTGGTTACTTTTAAGCATTTCAGCAGTAACTAATTTGGATCCTTGAAAAATGAGGGATAAATGGTTCCAACAAGATGCTTCTTGTTTGTTCCTAATGCAAGAATACATTTTATTCTTAGAAGGAGCAAAATCTCTGTGAAAGAGTAGATAAATTAGTTGTAGTAAATTTATTAAGTCCAAATTGAAATTTACCTGCAAATGTCCCTGGAGGAAAGTGGCCACATTGATAGACCAAGAGAGCCCTCTACCTGTGTACTTGGAGTATAGATTTCATTGGCTCACTCCTTGACCTGGGAAGCTGAAATCAATGGAGACCAGATAGTCTAGTTGTTTATCCACCTCAACTGGCTCCTGGCATTATGTTTGTGAACAATAAGCTACATGGAGAAAAATCTGCAGAAAGTCCTTTTTTGGTGAATAAAAGAAATTAATTAGCAACCTAAATAAAAGATTCAAATATGTACATATTTTCTAGTGAGAATTACATTGAAGTAATTATTTCCAAAGCACTTTATACTCCTTTGAGGATTAAGATGTTAGTAAGCATTTTTGTTCATCCGGCATGAAAGTTTCATTGTTTCTTTGTTTCAGCGAAAGATAGGGTTGAATGTAAAAATCATGCAGGATCCTGAAAACATCCACCACAGAGCTGCTGTAAATGCGAACTATGGGATCAGTTTGCCATATATTAATCAGAGAAAAGCATGTGTAAGTAATGAGTTCTTTTAATGAGCTCTTAACATTTAAAAAAAAAAAAAAAGAATTAAAAATCTTTTATTAGTAATGAAAGCTATAATGTCAATTTTAAGTAAAGATGTGATCCTTTCATCTCTGGAATTTGGGGGAGATGAAATGGAGCGACATTCATTCTGTTTCTAATTGGAAATGATTAAGAAAATGTAAACCCACTAAAAAAATCTATTTGTATCTCATTCAAGTATCTCTACTGTATTTTATGATTATTCCAGACTAATGCAATACTTTAATTTTCACATGGAGGAAATAATTTAACACTGAGGACTGGTAAAGAAACTGGAAACATTTGACTGCTTTAATAGTAGGTTTTCTACTAGGAAGGTCAAAAGAAAGGACAGAAGCACAGTGTCGGCTTCAATGGTGTGTACTCACACACTATACACAAATTTAGGTAGATTATTCTGAATTTGAAGCAAGCAGGAACTAAGCCTCTATTTCAGCAAAATGATGAGAGAAAAATAATCAAAAGGAGATTGGCATTCAGGGATTTCAGTCTGTGCCGATGTCTGTACCTTTGACTTGCTGCAAAGTGTCCCAACACCGAGACTGTCCTCCCTCTGTGTTATGGGGTTTTCTTAGGAGAATTAAGAAGGGTGTTCACTTGAAAAGGGAAATTATTTTACTTGAGATCATTATGAACACACATGTATTTTACATCACTAGCATGACATCTCTATGTTTTTAACCTTTGGCTTCTCTCAAAAGCTTAAAATAAGTACTTCAGTGAAAAAGTAAAGACACGGTTAAGTTTAAAATTAAATTGCAAAGCCATTTCTAAGCAGCTCAATAGTCTCTTAGATTAATGTTCTGGTTTGCCTAAATTGACATTCTCACCTGCCTGCTTCTTTCCTGTAACTCTGAAATATATGTCTAGATGCTTCTTAAGTACTTTATGTTATTCTAACAGGTTTGTTTAAGAGCACTTTATCATAGAAATATTTTTATGGCCTAAGAAATAACCAGAAAGTTAGATATTTTTATTCCTGCTGAAACTTTATTTAAAATGCCACTGTGAATAATGTGAAAACATTTTTATTGACTTCCCATGAGCCCCAAACCCTTGGGAAGAAAAATATATATTGCTCTAGCTGTACAGACAGAGCAGATTTCTCTTTTGTTGTTGTTGATTTTCCCCTTCAATCTAGAATTAATATTGGCATAGCTGGTGGAGTGTAGAGGTTTTTGTAGCCCAAGGCAACTGCTGTGGTTCATATAAACTTCTGATGATCGCTGACGTTTTAAAAAGCATATCTCGTGATTTAGAAAGGATTATGCTTTGCTTTAATGAATCTGAGTGAAGGTTCAGACATAAATGTTATTGTGGTTAAGTGCCCTTACTTGGGGTCCAACTCATAGCAATCCTGTAGAGGGCTTCCAAGGAGCGACCGGTGGATTTGAAATGCCCACTTTGCAGTTAGTAGTCCAGTGCTTATCCTACAGTGACACACCAGGACTGCATAAAGAGGGAATGAAAAATTATGTCCAAAATTGGAGGCAGAATCGTAATCATTTATTACATGTTTTATAATTTCCAAATGGAATGAGTGCTTGGGCTATCGTACCCATGTGCTTTGAGTACAGAGAATTTGGGGAAGCACTTTTTCTTGGATGACATATAGATAAGGAAGACACATTTACTATCTTAAAGATTGATTTTTTTCCCCCATAAAACTTAACTTCATAAACATCTACGTGAGAGCTCTTCCAATGCATATATTTCTGTCCATTTTGCTCAGACTGACTGTTGACATTTCAGTCAGAACACATGATCCTCTCGTTTGATGTTGACATAGATAGTAACTGAAAGCACGGTTTCATTCTGGATTTTTGTAAAACAAAAATTGTGTAAAAAGTCCTGTGAAGGAAATAAGTGATCAATCTGGCGCTCAGTTTTAAACCATCAGGCAGAGCCTTTGTGAATGAACACGGTTATGATTTACCACTTACGAAAATGTTTTTGAAAGCACTTACCCAAACTGAAGCAATATGTCTAGCCTTGTGATGTATAGTTAATTAGAAAAGCAACATCAAGGCTAATCACTTTCTGGACCCACTCAAAACACTCAAAGGGAATGATTATTTGACTGCCGAGGGCCATGTGTTTTCCTTACTTCTTATGGAACTTGCACAGCTTGTCAAAAGTCTGTAAATAATCTTAGATAGTTCTGACTGAGTAAATTTGAATATATAACCAATTTACCTTATTACTTCCTAGAAGTTGTGGAGGGAGGAGAAGTCTTCTCCATTTTGTGAAGAACTGTGGTCCTGCCTGTTAAAAAAGGGCCGATGTAAGGATTTCAGGGCATTGAAAATAAGTACTCATACACTGCTGCTACACACACATTCCCTCACATGGCACAAAACTGCCTTCAGATATGAAAATATCCTGTGACTCTATTATGTAAAATCAATTTTCGAAAGAAAATATTCAAAGTGAAACTCACTTGTGATTTTTTTCAATATATTTTTTAACTGTCCTCCCTGTCACCCAAGTTAACACGTGTCTACTTTCTAGCCAGTGAATACTTCTTCAATCTGTAAATAGCCCTCTAATATATTTTTCAGTAGGTCCTTCTAGGAATAAGGAGACATGAAAAAATCCCTGGTACCAGTTGTATTTACCCACCAACATTTAGTGCCAGTGAGGCTTTATAAAGCAACACATTGAAAGATCTACAGAAAATTTGACTTTGATTTATTTTATTTTAAATGAAAAGGGTTTCTTAAAAGGCTTGAAACATGTTTCTGTTAACATGAATTTTAAAAGAAAGATTATGAATGCATAACAAAACAGCCAAACAAAACATTGCTTGGAATTGCTTCACAAATAACTCTGATTATAGCTGTTATGACCTAGAAAAGAAGCATAAAAACATTTTTCTTTTTGGCAAGATATGCATTGCTGTAGAATTATACCAGTTCTTTGGTCCCACTTTCCAAATAAATAAATATATAATGCAATGTAAACTTAGAATCTTTTATTTATTCATGAGGTTAGATTTAATACTATTATGATTTCTACATTTTATGAGTCATATGTTAGGCAGTGTTTTTCACTAACTTAGTTGGGTAGACACCACACTTCACAAATCATAGTTTCATTCTTTACTGTTTCACTCAGGGTGTACACAGTCATCTCTCTCTCACTGAAAGCACATTCATTTGTGAAATGATAAAGTAATGGAGAGTGAGGCAATTGTGTTCCCGTCAACTGATTAGAAGAAGCACCAGGAATAAAGGAGCGGGGGCAGGAGGTGGGGGGGAGAAAGGCCGATTTCAAAACATGATTGTGTTTTAAGCCCATGCATATGGTCACAATTACAGTCACAACATAATTTGGCAACGGTAGCAGAATTAGATTTAAACAAATTGATGTTACACTGCAGTAATTCAGAATGAGCTTGTTGCATTTATAAGCCATAACAAGAAGCAGAGGGAATTAATAAACCCTTCTTGTCACTAAAAATAAAAAAGGGAATAATTGCTGAGATGGTGTTAACAGATGACGATAGTCAGCATCCTTTCAGCCTAGAGATGGGGAAGTGAAGGTCACCCCCATCTCAGATGACAAAGAGGGAACATTTTGTTGGTAAACAAATTAATCTTTTGAAAGGTCGCCATTTGTTTGAAGTTTTTATCCAGTTCTTGTCATCTGGAATCAGAGATTGACTGTCATTTCACCAGGCAGGGGCGCAGCTTTGTCTGCTTCGGTACGTATCAGCATTCCTTGACGAAACTCGGTGCCTGATTGTGAAGCTATGGGCTGCTGGTTTACAGCTGTCTCCGGACAAGATGAGAGGCCCACCCCTGAATTCCAATAAGATGGGCCTGCGTATTCCGCCTGCTGTAAGCTGGCCCTCTGCCCACAAGTAAAATGTATTGTAGTTCAAGCCAGCAATTATCTCTTCTACTTCCTTCTGTGCTGCTTCTGTTCCCTTTTTCTAAAAACAGATGTGAGTATTCACTCAAGTTCTGCATCTATTCTTTCTCACACCTGCCAGGGTGGAATTTTCATGGAGGTGGAGTTTGGGGGAGCCAGCAGACAACAATCAGATGTAATTTCTTGGAGAGCAGTTTAAAAAAAAAAAAAAAAAATTAATTTTTTTTTTTTTTTTTTTTTTCAGGAAATGTAGAGTCAGCATCTTGCAAGCCCCCCTCCCCCTTTTCCCAGGAGCATTTGGTAAATTAAATTAGTTAAACAAAAGGAAATCACTTTAAGGACATTCTGAAATGCCATATCCTATTTATGGCACACAGTCATTACCCACACACTGCTATGGCATGCAGAACATACCTACTTGCACCATCTAAGAGAGCTTTCTCTTCAGGTTGCTTAGAAAGAGTTTTTTTTTGAGGTGGGGGGAAGATAGGGAGTGAGGAAAGACTTTTCATGTTCTTGATCCACAGCTTAAACATCATATTCTACTGTTCTGGTGGTTAGGGAGGGGATGCATTGTGGTGTGTGTTGCTGCTGCGGTATTGAAGTTCTGTATTAGTTCTGTATTAGTGTGGAGCAATGGAAAAGCTAAGAGAAGTAAGAACACAATTGCTGTTGCCCCTGGTGGGTCACTTTCTCACTAAAGCCTGTGGCTCTGGAAAGAGACAGCTCTCCCATCATGGAATACCTAGCATTCATCAAACATCTAACTGTAGTGAGTTCACCAGCTTCTTGGAATGCTAGTGTTCTTTAGCTTCTCTACTAAGATCCTGTCGGTATTCCCAAACCTAGGCTGAACTCACAGCACATTTTAGCTCTTAGCATAGTAATACTGCATCATACTGCCCAGTGTGAGTTCTTACCAGGTGGGGACCACTCACAAAAGTTTATTTTTGATCATGTATAAGATGGTAATAACAATACTATCTCCCCAATAGCATTGTTGTTGTTGTTGGGTGCCATTGAGGTGGTACCGACCTTATGCACAACAGAATGAAACACTGGTCTGCACTAA